TCCTTTTCCCAAAGGTGAGATGATCTTGACCATTAGGAATGACAAAAACCTGCTAACATCACAAAAGCAACTTACATTCCTCGGCCTACAATTTCATAAACTTTTCTCTGGAAAACAGTCACTCTCCGTATTTCCATTGTCTCATTTTGCAAAACAAGCCACCGCACAAAAAGCAGTGCAAGACTAAGAGCATTACGCAAGTTCTACAGGACCGGCAAAGTTAGCATAAGTATTTCAAAAGTAAAACTTTAAGTAAAACTCTTTGAAAATTGAGAGATAAGTATGACACATGTTTCAGGAACATTACAAGAAATTAAAACAGAACTTGACTATGTTTGCTCAGATGATTTAGCTGGACAACGATTTTCAACAACCCCATTTATCAATCCCAGTGAATGACTGTTCTGCCCTAAAAGCAGCCTATTGACTACACCAGCCAAAAGTCTTGTCTTAGATGGAGCATGTCTAAGATTTATTACCCAGAATTATCTGCAAAAATTAATTCTGCCAAGTTGTAGGTGAAGATTCAGTATACTTGTTTTCAGGAAAGTTCGAGTTACTGCAAATCACAGTGGTAGCTAAACTGTAGCTCTTGGGACGGAAGAATGCTCTAGGCAAAAGTAGAAGGCATTTGAAATTCAGATGCAGTAATGAGCCCGTAATAAGGAGACTGGTAGAAATTCAAACCCGTTGCTATAGAAAGGATTCAGCTGGCACTACACTACAGCTAAATCAAGTCTCCCCAGGAAAGAGCTGCACTCCCAGCTTGGTCTTGGTGGCTTGAGCCACTGGAAAGCAGAGGATGGGACTAGATCTGTCCCTGCAAACAGCCCAGGGGGCCACTCCAGGGTCCTCCTTCATGTAGTACAAGCAGGCTAGATCGCTCGCCAGCTCCTTCCTGTTAAGGGAACTGATTACTTTTCTCCAGGAAAAGTCAAGATGTGGTTGGCAAGATAATCTGTTGCTAGCTCTGGTGTAAACCAACTCCACAGTGACAGGACAGTTCTCACTTAGCAACTGCCTGTGGGTCACAGGAGGCCAAAATTAAAAAAAAAAAAAAAGAAAAAGAAAAAAAAAAACAGAAGACTCAAATCTATAATGCAGAGTCACCCTGAACACACAGGGTTTTTGTGATAGCCTCCTAGGCCATACGTCCTCTCTATAGGACTACAAAACATCGTGTTCAGGGTTATTCTGACCAGCATGCTAATAAACTGCTGCTGTGTGAAATTAAACAGGCATTTGGGGCATTCCCAAGTCATCAGTCACAACAGAATGATAAAAATAAATTATGATTCCTGCTAACATTTATTTCTATATACTTTTCAGAATGTTAGGCAAAGTTTCAAAAGCTAAGCAAACCTCCACAATATAAATCTTGTGTATCTACCTTTCTTCATCTTACAATCATGAAACATCTTAACTTAAAGGCAGCAGTACTTCCGTATGAAACATATTAGGACCATGCAGAAAGTGAAGCAATGATTTAGACTGCAGACGCACATTTAGTACTTATCAAAATCCTACAATTAATAGCAGATTCAAGCAGCAGATAAAAGAAATGGAAAGACAAAAATACTACTCTATGAGCTCTAATTTCATCCAGTCTCCTAATATTAATCAAAATTACCCTATGCTAGCAATCTAGGCAGTTGCAAAAAGAAACATGTAGTTTGATTAGTAGAAGAAAAAAAAAAAGATACTGTGTGATGGATTTCAGAAAATATTCAATATTGGGACAGTTAAGCAGCCATCACAAAAAGTTCATCTATGAAGAGTAAGTCCAGCACAACTCAAGTTGTCTTACACACAAAGACGAGAATCAATTCCCTTGGTTTTGTTTCTCCCTCTCAAAATAACACAATGTTATTGCATTATATACAACATATTGTATTATATACAACAATATTTAGTAATAGAAACCAGCTGCTGCTCTCCAAAACTCACAGCAAACTTTCACGTGAGAGTTTCAGAGGACAAAGTCATGGTAATCAGGTTTTACACTGCAGTGCCAAAGTTACTGCTTTACTAACCTTGTATGTGCATATTATAAAAATCATTCATTTAGGTTACAGTGAATTGCTTTAAGGTAACGCTGGGATCGCAAGACCTGAAGTGAATTTCAAGTGACAAGGCCCTCATTAATCTTGCCTTCTTACCATTAATGCCACCGCATAAAGTCTTTCACTTCACTGACTGAAATGTAGGGGTTTGAAGTGAAATGCAGGGAGTTGAGGATAAAAGCATTTGTAGATAGTGCTATGTACACTGACACTTTTCTTAATGGCTTCTTGGAACATATAACATAAAAATCAACTAAAATAGCATATTTTATTGATATGTATTTTGAATAAACAGATTACAAACCTTAGTAAAATTAAAATCTTATCTGATAAATATTTCTAAAGTTTTTGAACATTACACCCCAAATATGGGAAGGAATAAACCAAAAGGATATGAAATTAGAAAACAGGAGTGAAATCTTCTTTCTGTGCTAGGATCTCAAGATCCAAAAATTTTTGTATATTTGTTCAGATTACTAAATTTATACTGCAAGATTAAGTGTATTATCACCAAATCAAGAATCAAAAGTGCAACCAAGATGATACGAACTAAAAATTTCTTACAATACCAGACACTTTCTCTGTTATTTTCAGATAATTTAAATTAATTCCTTTACAGAAGGTATGATACTATACAATGTTAAGTTCTGACAAAAAGTATTCACAAAACAGCATTCAGTGAGGTTACAAAAAAAAAAAAAAAAAAAAAAAAAAAAAAAAAAAACACCCACACAGCTAAGTTGCTACCTTTATTGATCGCTTCAACATTTAGAGTTTAAAAACAAGTAGAAAAACTACCGGACTCTGAATTTATAGTTAGGTTATGCTACCCAAAACAATTAAGTCTGAGAAGCAAACTCCTCAATCCTACAATAAAAACACCGATGTTGCACAGCAACACACCCATCCTCAAGCATAGCTTATAGCCTAAAAATGTAATGTTTAATGAGCACTGCAGTTTTATGACAAAACTTCACTAAGTTATAACACTCATTAGGGTAAGAATAAAAATTAATGATCCCATGTTGTTTACACAAATGCCCTACATGAACGAGGGCATCCCAGTCAATCATGCCCATCTCTGGAAGTGATCAAAAATCGTTTCAAAGGATGAGGGTATAATAAAAGTAAGCTAATACCACCGTGTCTGCTAGAAGCCATCATGCTCTCTCCTTTCCTCTAGTTTTCAATTCTAGAATACTTACAATCACAGAAATCTACTATAAAACAGGTTAAAGACTACGGTGTTTTAATAATAATAAAAAAACACTTAAATTACACATAGAATACCTATACTATGCGCTAAGCAATACTATGAGCAAAAGTCATTCAAAAAAACCATCCACTTATGTTCAGAGATAATGGTACCTCTGGGAATGTCACGTTACATAGAAGCTCACATTTAGAAACTAAAACACTTCCTGCAGGTGGGAGACATCATCTCTAGAATGCCAAATTTTATGTCAATTTCTCAATTTTAAAATACCACTAGTAAAGGTAAGTCCCAACTAAATGATCCTACAGCCTCCTCTGGCCCTTTCTCTTTTCGTCCTGTTTCACATTTTTCTTGAGACAATCCTTTGTGCAATATTCAGTTTAACAGCTCTGATACTAATCTGCAGTTGGGCATCTGCAGTATTAATTCAAATAATCTGTGCAGAATCCTCTGACTTCTGAGGACAGTTGCTTTCACTTTTTTCCTGAAGAGAGATCCAATGCTGGTAAGAATATTTGCGACCTAAATTCTGTGCTACTATTACTGAAATATCTAAACTCCTACAGAGCAATCTTGTAGAGATGTTTGCATATTAATATTAACTCAGCAAACTGCCACGAGTAATATATAAAGTAATTTGAAAGAGTAAGTTTGTTCTAAGTTATAAAACAAATCTAAAAAGCTAATATTAGAACCTACATGAAGTGCAGAAAGGGTGTTTTTTTGTTTGTTTTCACAGTTTAGTCATCATTTATGGCACAAAGAAAATTTATTACCAAATGGTTAGAGAATACGCGGGGAAAAAACGGTCCTTGCAGTATTGATTCAGCACATAAAACTCCTTACACTGAAAATTTGAGGAATGTTTTAAAAGTCTCATATTGCTAAGTTGCTTTGATAGCAAGGTTGGCCACGAATGCTTAGTAAATAAACAGTTATAAGGTTAAAAGAATGCTTTTTTAAACAATCAGCATACCAGCAGTTTATTAATTTCAAATATAACTGGAGTTTACAGTATGGCTTCATGTACCATTACAGGAATGTTTCCAGTGAGATTCTGTATGAACTAGAGACATCGTTTTTTCAGTCAACGCATAGTGATCTTAAGAGTTTGAAGTAACTTACTGCAAGGGTTATGTTCAGTTGATAACACGTGTGTGTTTGTTCATGCTTTAGAGACAATAAAATGTATTTTATAGAAGTGTGTAATACAAAGGAGTTTTATTTTACATATACAGACACACACATATATATATTTCCCCTCCTCTATAGGCTCACATTTTGCACTTTAGTTATGATCAGAGCCTTTTAAACTGTAGAACCACTGCTTTTATAATATTACAATTTTCCTAGAGCAATTGCTGTGAATTACTAACGGAAGAATATATGCAGACAGTATTGACCATAGCTGCCTAACCAGATTTGGTACCTCAAACACTCATACAAGGAAGAGTAATTTTGCTTGACAGGCTGATCAAGTAAATGGATTGAATTCATCATACAATGTATTTTAAAATCTCTAGCTGAAAATTCTTTCAAGTGACTCTGCTTATTTTTATATTGAATGTTTTTCCCTGATAGTTTCCATCTTTTCTCTTCGCAAACAGAAGCCCATAGACTTAAATCTCCAAGAAGCTACTACACGAGCTTGTCATTAAGTTATGCACAATATTGTTATTAAACTATGCAACAAAAGTTGTAAAAAGAGACTCCAGACTTACTGCCAGTGCTTTAGACAGCTTTGTTCTATAGTTATTCAAAACAATTGCATCAATATCCTTAAGAGGCACATAGGCAAAGCCATCCTTGATAAACACTCTTCTCGCTCTAAACAGCTCCACAGCATCTGCAAGTCCAACCTGAAACGGGAGAGAGACCCAAAATAAAAATAAAACTTTAAAAAGCACCATCAGGGATTAGCAAAAAAAATGAATTAAGTGTTTATAATCCTAAAATTGAAACAGAGACTTTTAAAAGGATCTTGTGTTTTAACAAAGCTCTAGGCAAAATGCAAAACTTCTGAAAGCAAATGATGAAAGAGTCAATCATCATCTTGGTGGGAAAAATATTAGTGCTTACAGAAAGTCAAACATTGGCAAATAAAGGTACTGAATAATTTGTGTCTATGGCTGTTAGCCTGATTACATAATATTGCATTAATGATTTGGTATTTGAAAACAGACTTTTGCTGGCCTTCAGTGTTAGGTATCTTGAAACATTTAATTCATATAAAATACATAAAACTGTTCTTGGAAACAGATCCAGAACACAACTAGCTGCACTTAGAGAAGAACTGGTGGATTAAAATAGACGATTGCGCTCTCTGCCCTTGCATTCTTACAGAAAGAACCAAATAGTAATTCAGTCAGCAAGTTTAGCTTCAGCAACTGATGTTTGACTCCATCCTAAACAGCCTGTCAGCCGGGTCATCTGCCTGGAAAGTGTTAAGAATTAGGACTTTTTTTGTAGCAAGCAATGGAGTGGTAAAAGAAGGCAGAGAATTTAATGATAGTTTAAAGCCCCTTTCATCCTTACGAGTCCCTCCTTTTGCCCTCATACTACCATGCAAAACAGGAACTCACTAGTCTCAGTTAATTCACATTTTCTGATCAACTGCTAATAATGAAGCTAAATAACTTAAAAGCAGTAACTTGCAATTTTAAGAAGAGAGCATGATCACAAGTCTGAAATTTCCCACTTCCACTTACCTTATAGAACATTTGTTCTTTGACTTTAATCATAGTGAGGCCAGGGGTTGATGCACACAGATCATTTGCCCACTCGTTTTTCAGATCTTCACTGATCTGGAATTGAAAAAGATTGTGTTTTAAAGCTGCAAGACTATTTCTGAGGAAAGAGGTGGGAGCAGGGAACAAGGGGAGTTCATGAGCTATAAGTAGAGGCAACACTATTTCTGCAAAAAAATAAAACACAATAAAATCACTCTAATCAGTATTACAGTTCCTTTAAAGATTCTTATCCTTGAAAATTAATGTTAAAAATATCCACAGTTTGATTCCAAGCTTCACAAGTTGTCCAGATCCTTCCTTGTTAGTAATTTGACCAGCTCAAAATTTTTGCAGCTGCAAAGTCACAGTTATTTTGATTTTCTTACAACTCACTAGAAAGAAGTTTTAACAGCTGGGTAAAAGTTATCGGAGTGAAGCCTCCAGAGAAAGTAGTTAGTGTGCTATGACCAAGACCATGGTTAACTTTGTAGACAAGGTTACTGAAAATCCAATAAGGTCAAAGTAAGTAACAAAGCTGTTAAGTAACTTATTTCCTACAGCCTCAGGTATCTTACAAGTTCAGCAAACAAGCCTTCTCACTATGCTCCAATACCCTTCCATAATCTTCCAAACACTCTGCTCACTGCCTTCTCACTAAATTTTGTGTTTTCAGCTAGTCGATGGAGAAGGAAAGGAAGCAAGTACTGCCTTAGCTACTGCTGATAAAGATTCCAGAATACACAGAATAAAGTTTGCTTTCCCAAAGACTGGAACATTTTAAAAAAAAAAAGGCATAAGCAATAAAGTCCTCTCCATTTTCACATAAAAAGATGTAAAAGTTCAGGTTGACTACAGGCAAAACACAATGAAAATCTCAAGTTTGAAGAGCGGGAAAAATCATAGGGTGAGACAATCAATATTCAAATGTCAGACTCAAGTTTCCAGTTGCAGAATAGCATGCACCTCGATAGGTGGGGGACCTTGAAACATGTGCCCCTTTTTTTTTCTAGCCCATTCAACCAGGAAAAGCTTACTTCTTTTTACAACACTACAATTTGCACATTTAATAATTTCATTTCTAAAGTGGCACCCTCATGAATACATTCCTGTAATCATTAATTAGACAGAATTAAGTACAGCTTTGAAATCTTGATTAGAATCCTAAAGGATAAACAGGCTGCTTAACTTTTGACAGAACTTGAAAATGTCTGTCAGATAAAAATATGCTCCTGCTCAAAAGATAAGAGAGAAAAGCATCATGGAAGATGGCATGAAAGCAAGGAAGTAGCAAGTGTTTTGGGAGCATTTCTAAATTCTCTGCTGCCCAAAGCAGCCCTATATCGAAGCATGAGGTACCCCATCCCCGCTCCTCACAGCTGCATGGTCCTGACTCCCTTTGCTGCTCATCTGACTTGCCCTGAACCAATTCAAATCATTCACTCCAGAAGAGCAACTCACAAGCTTTTTTTTTTTTTTGGTTACTTACTGCCAGCTTAAAGTGAATCTGCTTATCCCCACCAAATCAGACCACAAGAAAAGTGTAGACCACAAAAGCTTGGAAAAGGATCCTTCTCTTCCAGTGACATAGGGCCACATGTTAAAGCTTGAAACGACCTAACACTTCACCTGAAGCCTTCCTGAAACATGAGGAAAAACAAACAAGACAGGAGTGGGGGGAAAAAAATGAGAGGATAAAGGGAGGCAGGATTAAGAATGTTTTATATGGGGCAAGTTGCATAATGCCTACATTTCTTGCTTTCTATATGCAATTTATTCATTGATTTTGATCTGAGAATCATCCTGGAGCCATAAAGAAACAAATTTAGATTGAAATATGAATAATTAAAGGGTTGATTAAACAAACACTGGCAATGAGGTAGTCCAAAGACTGCAAAATTTAATATCCCTACTTTGTTTTAATGAAGCCATCAAGATGTATTTGTACATTATACCATATATGCATATGTACTTAATTTCGCTGTTCCTAAATCTCACAATAATAAACGAGAACTCCAAGTGCAACACATTACTCCTTTTCCAATGTTCTGCCTCTCAGGTTAGCAACATGTCACTGGTGTTCCTACAAAATTAAATTTATTACAATTAACTTTGTCACCAAGCAGATGGTATTTAAACTGCATAATACATTTCTCAAAAACATATGGTCCCTCAATACTGCACTATATACAATTTAAGTATCAAACAATCAAAATGATTGTTTCCTAACTAACCTGCACACTGCAAGGCAGCACAATCCAAGGCAAGGTAGAATATCAATGGCATTCACCTAAAGCCACTGTCTTGATACAAGTTATACAAAAAGAATGACTGAATTAACTATAAAAAAAAAAAAAGATATTTGTCTAAACCATGTTTCCTGCAAAATCCAAACCTGACAACAATTTAGGCCTGAAGAAATACACAAATCAAATCTATTCTGTATCTATTGCTATTCCTTCGTCATATACATGCCATGAGATAACCAGCAATGAAACATTACCTGTTGTGTGCTACAGCACACAAATTGTGTGGATACGCTTCCTGCCTCTTACGATAGGCTGAAGAAAATGTAATGGGAGAAGATCCCTATTCTCCACTAGGTCACTGCACTGTTATGGTTGTCCAAAGTCTGAAACTGTAGTAGCAGCAGAGCATCTGCCTTGAGATTCAAAACGTATTCTGAACCTTGTCTAGCTGTTTTCAACTAGATTAGGTAGAAGAATGTTTTTGACATCTCGTTTTTATTGTATCCTTTTTTTCCAAAAAAAAAAAAAATACCTTACTTTAAAGCAGGTAATTTCTTCAAAGCAGGAAGACTTTGTACAGTACACCAGTACAGAAGAATTCAGCCTCAAACAAGACCTTTAGAACCCCCTAACACTCAAATGAGAAACCTCACAAAGCTATTTAATAAAAACCACGCTACTCTCTTGCACTGAGACACAAGTAACTTACTGTATAGTTTGTGTTTTAGTTCTCCTTAGTTGTGTTTGCAAGTTGATTTTAAGCAGTAAAAGCGGTCTTTAAAGGGTCCACTTAAGATTTCTGCAGATAATCAGCATCTGTTTCTAATCAAATTGAGATGATTACCAAATTAAAACTTTTAATTAGCATTTTGCATAATCTACCAATTGTTGTTCATTATGTTTATGAAGATGAAGAAAGACAGTCCTAGTACCTACATATTTTCAATCACATTTATTACTTAACTCCATTTGTATAAAGTGTCACCACCACAGTATGTACAAACACATGTAACTACAATTTCTCCAGGAAAATGCTAGTTTTCTCCATGACCGATAACAAAGTTGTGCTCGTATTTCACTGCTAATTGCTAAGATGGGAGAGGTCTCCTTTGAATCTTTGCTCTCCTCCTAGTACAGCACTAGCAAGAGGTCCCTGCAAGAGGTAGCTATAAGGCTAGAAATCCTCACACTTTTCCTCTCCTACGGGACAACAACCAATTAAAAAAAAAATTTTGCTTTGACAGACTAGCTATTTGCTTTTACTTAAATCTATCTTCTGAAACTCAAAGGATTAAAAATTGTGGCTTCCGTTGCAAGGACTATGTTAGGTTTTTTAAAGTCCCAATAGGACATAGTCATTTCACTGCCATATTTAACAAAGTCTAGACTTTAAAATAATTCTCCTACTCATATTTTTATATAGTTTTGTTTCTGTTATGATTAAGTACAGAGGTAAGTAGCAGAATAAACATTTTTAGCTGACACTGGCATCAAGTTCTGCCATGCATCAGTTCTGACCTTTGCTGTCATCGCCAAGACAAGCACAGTTGATTTTCAAGCCAAGGACCAAATTGGAATCTCAGCTAGCAACAAAATAAGCTAAAATAAATAATTTCCTTCCCAAACAAAAACTGCAGCCTATTTGGACATATGTCAAACAGTTTCTAAGTTTTCATAAAAAAAAAAAAATGAAAGCTTCAGACATTTTCTAGTTTTAAGAGTTCTTCCCATTCTGTGTAGGAAAGGAAGAAATCTTACTTTATGTCTCCAAACTGCTTTCAGAAAAATATTTTGATTCATACACCTGCCACCAAAATGGATAATTGTAGTCATGACCTTTTGGTAGACAGATACAATATTGAATTTTTTCTTTCACATTTATCCCTACTTACCAAGGACACAAACTAGTCAACCGCTCATTAATCCAAATCTAGTTCTAGGATCTTCTGTACCTTCTAAAAAGGCAGCTATAAAACATGAAAATTTTCAAGAAGCTAAACCACAAATATTTATATCAATGTCCCACTGAAATAAAAGCTTTTGAAAAAGCATAATGGTAATATCAGAAAGTCTCTCACAGGAGTGCTCTGATCATGAAAATGGAAATTAAAGAAGTTTAATTTCTACTGCTTAAATCTCAAAAAATGTACTTTAACTGCAACTTCAAAGCAGAGGTACAGTGGCAGAAATGAAGTCCACTAATGTATTTTGCTCATTCTTCTTATTTTGCAGTTCTCATTCTTTCTTCTCTGGCAGATGCAGTATGGAGCATTAGCTCCACCAACTGACAATACTGACCTGCTATTCCTTCCCCAATGCTATGATACAAAAATTTAAAATAACGCGCTGTATAACGCCCTTAAAAATTAATTCTGCAACAATTACCTTGCCTTTGACTAGCAGGCATCTAATCCATAAATTACAGAAAAAAAGTCATTTTTTAAATCTCAGGAGGCCTTTCAAAGGTCAACACCTAAGGTAATTCAAACAGAATCTTTCATACTCTGATGAGACATAGCACCAACACAGGGAAAAGTGCACTCAGGAAGAAATATTGTACACTTCCAAATTTATTTCTTCTGGCTATTGTATAAAGTTAACGCAGCACAAAGATTTGTGGAACGTAAATTCTATTACACATGGTGCTTACACAACAGACAGGAATGCAAAAATCACTTTTCCTGTCTTTTTGAAGGAAATAGCAGTCTGAAGATAAGATGAAAGAAGGGTTACAGGACAGGAGAACAACTGAGGTGATGACTGCTGTCACTGAAACTTAAATTTAGGATAACACTTTATATTCTATGCCATATTCTAGTGGATCAAGTTTCTACAAAGACACAGTAAAAAAATTAAAGTAATACCACTCAAAAGAAACAGTATTATGGGTTTGTTCATTCCTAAGACCACCAGCGGTCAGATATTTTGTGTTTTTCCTTAGCTAAGATACATTAAAAGCTTTCCAATAATTGGCTGTCTTAGATGCTATAATAATTGTAATTATGTCAAAAAGGCTACGATAACTTCTAATCAATACAACATGAGTAAGCTCACACTGCGAGGGTCCAAAAGCACTACTGGAACAACAAAACATATATATATATTGGCCAACTTGCTTGAGGGCTTCAAATAGGCTACCCAGCATGACCTGTCTGAAAGACAACAATAATAACCTGGCATTCCTAAATTAAGCAGAAAAGAACAGAAGCCCAGCTCTCTGCAAAACAATGAGTGCCATGGCTCTTTCATATACTATCTTTGAGATTAAAATATTTCCATCAATTACTGTAATATTTAAAATGAATATACACTGCACTTCCCTTTATATATCTTTAAAAACCCACACTAGGGGCTTTTATTGCTAGCAACTGTGAGGCATCATAACTGTAATTACTCATTTCTCATAAGAATTAATGCTTTAATCTCCTAAATTAATGTAAGTCTCAACTGCACACCTGTGTTTGCATGTTCTCTTTGATGGGCCCTGTCACCTTAAATGTCAGCATTTACTTCACTTGAGTGCTGCTTAAGGGCTTCCTGTGCTCCCCATTTGCCTGACAAAGATTTTTTTTTTTTATGTGCCTTGAGAGATGAAGATTAAAAGCCATGAGTAAAACACTTCAGTATTTTTTCTAGATTATGACAGCACTATCACTTAAAAGAGAAATACAGCAAGCATAGACTATGTAGACTAAAACCCAATTACCTGCTTCCCTGATTCTCCTATTACTGTGATAAGAATTCAACATACCAGTGAAAGGCACTTTAAAAGTATAAATTAGAACTAAACAAGCTCTGGAAGTAGAGAACAGATCAGTAAGTATTTCTTGTTCTCTGAAGATGGAGGGACAATTACACTGCATAATTCTTTTCCAAGATGTTGAATGCTCCACAGTGAAGTGTGCAGAAAGGCAATGCAGTGCTCTCTTCCTTTCAGCAAGTCCCGTGCTCTAAGCTTAACAGTGAGGCTCTTCACACAAGATGGCAGAATTTTAACAAAAACCTCCATGAACTAGAGACAGCCTCGTCAGTAATACCCATTATTGCCATCAGATAACACCGCTCTAAATAAATCACATTTTAAACCAAGTAATTGGCTGGGGTATGAAGCATTATGGCTTTGAAAAGGCTTTTTTTTTTTTTTTAAGTAGGATTATTAAAATTAACTTAAAATTGACTTTGTGAGAATTCTAGCAAGCAGACATACACTGCGTAGCAGAACACAAGATGTCAACATACTTACAGCTTCAAATTTTAAGTTAACATGATCCAGGAATTTCTGCCTTAGATTGTCTGTCAGTTCATTGAACCGGTATCGAAATAGGTCCATTTCTTGTTGGAGAAACCAGCGCCTAAGTTCCTCACTACATAGAAACAAAGATATATGTTATGAATTCTTCCTACCATAGACTGGATAGCAACCCTAGTGAACACAGCATTAAATATATTTTTGACTGTAGCACAGGACTGATAACCATGGAAGAGAAGGCAGAAAACTCTAAGGAAGGGAAACAAGTAAATAACGACTGAGTCAGAAGTTTTTGAAAAGGTAACAGAGAAGGAAGCATGACTGGATAATCTGGAAGATCAGATGTATTGCATCTCAATATCAGAAATGCTATGTAGATTTCAACACTTGTTATTCTCTCAAGCATTTTTTACTTGTTTTAGTTAAGAATAACCAACTGCAGACACTCTCCATCACTATTTAGAGCACATTTTCAGTATGACATTATTTTTTCTCAGTGCAATCAACTTCATAATGTAATTTGTCAGATTAATTGTGAACACTAGTGCATTTAACTGTCACACTTTCAGGGAGTATCCACAGGTGTGAAGGAACATGCACACACAGTCAGACGCTATGACAAGAGTGCTCTCTGCTAGGCAAGAATTAACCTGCAAGGAGACTAGGAGAAAGTTTAGGGGGATGAACAGAGCCGAGCAAGACAAGCAAAACACAGCAATGACCCAGCAGACCAGGTTTGGCAACTGCAGGTGAGTGGAAGTACAGACACAGAGGAACAGAAAAGGAATCAGGAAGCAGCACAAAACAAGAACAGAGAAGTCAGCTTCCAAGTACCCACTCTCTTACTCTTGGCACAATGGAATGCTGAATTCCTAATCACCAGTACATTACTCAAAGCTAGCAAAAATAGGTAGCAAAATGCAAATCACCAACCTAACACCACATAAACAAGCACAGAACATGGAGGACACCGTAACTTGCTATAACAGAGCATTCTTTTGAGCAGTCCTCCACAGGCTCTGACAACAGGTACAGCTACGGCAGCTCGCAGAGCAGAAGTTGTGTGGTACTATTTACTATATAATATTGAGCTCTCCTTCCTGGAAGGAAATTCATTGCAATAGGCCTTTGAGCACTGTGGGTTACCAGAGAGCAAAAGTTCTCTTGAAATACGTTTTGGAAATGAATGGAATTAATACTCAAATCCCAGTTCCAGATGGAAAGGCTCTCTCTAGATCTTTCCTAAAGTAAAATTGACAGACAGTTTCAGTGATCAGGATCTCAAACAATCTGTAAAACTTAAAGTGAACGCATTGATGACTTGTCTTCTCTAGCTCCTCTGTGATCATTTTGCACAAAAACAAAATCCTAGAATCAAAGCACAAATAAAAGCAGTAACTTGGGACAATTTTACTCTTGTCCTAACACAATAGCTTTACACTGTATTTGTTTCCCTAAGAAAAGGTCAAGAATATATAGCTACTGTGAGACTAGTCTTTCTGCCTTCCAGAAGGAGAAAATAAGGGCTACAATGCCCACCACCAATTGAAGCTTAATACCTGGCATGTTTTGACAATTTATCTCCAATGCTCTGTAACCACAACTGCCTATGGAATCTTCACATAGTTCCAATGAGCTGGCGTACATGAGCAATGCAGCTGTACTTGTCCAGCATATACCTCAATATTAATTCACACACTGTCATTAGGATATGAATCATATTCATGGCACAAGAAATTTTTTAATCTTAGCTAAATCTGATTCATTTCTCACACTCTTTAACAAAAAAAGTACATTCTCATTCCACATACATAAGAATATTAGATTAAAACCAAGAGCTTAAGTGATGCCACTGTCACTGCACAGCTAACCAGGCTGCTGAAGACAGAACAGCTGCAGGTAGCTGAGACATGGAAGTTAAGAAGGGCAACAGAGCAAATAGATGAGAAATGCTTCCTAGCTTCTCCCTCCCGCCAGTTAAAATTACATATGCAGAACCCTCAGGAATTTAAACTTGATCCGTAGCTTTCCAATCAGAAAATTGAACAGACTCTCTCACACTAAGGAATGGCACTCAAAAAATAAACAAACAACCTACCCATAAACCCTCCCAAGAGGGACTAGGAAAACTGAAAGTATTTGTCATTAAGCACCAGAAGAGAGGTGCTTTGGAAAAACAAAAATGTGCCTAAATCTAGGGTCTCAGACCACTCCAAAATTAAATACAACAATTCGGTTACCAGCTTGTAGAAGCCTGGGCATAGAACAGAAATCTATCTGGAATTCTGCCGAGGAACCAACACCAGAGGAGTCCTTAAGAGTTCAGGATTAGAATACAAAAAAGGTAGCAAGGGAAACATGGCTAAAGAACATGGCTTTACGAAAGTAAATTCTAAATCCATGGGACAAACCATAAATGAGGACTGATGCACACAGTCAAAGCCGATGCAAACTTGTACCCCTCGGTGGCGCTGCTGGCCCACTAGAAATTTAAGTAAGAGGGATGAATGTCTGAAAACAGCCCCAACATAACCTGCTGGTAGGCCACAAGGAACTTAATTCAAGCTCCTTTGCAGTTAGGCCTACTTAAGCACACATTTCACAGACTCCTACCTCTGTGGCTTTCATCAGTTCAGTTAATAATTTATGAAAGGTTAATTCTTCTGACCTAATAAGATTAAGGCTTAATTTTGATCCCAGGTATTTTTTTTTTTTTTACCACAGATTAATCTAAATTTCAAGAATAGAAAGGCCTTTACTTGTGACTGCCTCTCTATCAGCCACATGGCTCCATAATGTTTGTCATACCTGCAATAACATCTGTATATGCTTAAAATTACCAAGAGAACCAAGTGTACTCAGAAAGTACTTACGACTGACAGTAAGCAAGACGTAGTATGAAATGAGAAATATGGTCTTTCCTTCTTGCATCATAATCATCTTCAACCAAAGCCTACAGAAGATCACAGAATCACAGAAGGGTTGAGGTTAGAAGGGGCCTCTAGAGATCATCTAGTCCAATCCCCTTGCTCAAGATATTACTGATTTCAGCAAAAGACAAGACATTCTCACAGATTTAAAAAAACACCGATAAAGTTTATTTATTGGTGCATTTAGTAAAATATTACTGAATATATAATACCTATAGTAATAATACCCATTTCTAAGATCACAAAACACAAGACCATTAGAAGGTGAGCTAGAAAGTAATAATTTACATTCTCAAAGGCACACCAGATATCTGATTAACATCAAAAATTAAGTTCTAGTTGTATTTCATTAACAGCAGAGAGAAGATAAAGTTAAAAGAGTTTTACTTCTTAATAAAGTTTTTTACTTACTTTGTA